ATCTAATAAATAACAATATTGTTTAAATGTTATTTATTTAAAACGAACTTTATTTAATTATAAATGTGGAGAGGTAACAATCAATAAATATAGTTTCTTCATATCTATTAATAACAAAACTTCTGGGGAGTTATAAATATATATATATATATTTGCCGATTTTTTTCTTCGAGTAAAAAAGTACCAAAATGCCACACTATGTAAAAATGCACTTAAAAGATTCTTTATGCTAACAACAAGTTGTGATGAAAACTTGGTAAATTAATCAATGAAAATACTCTGTGTGGGTGTACACAAAATACAAATCACATCAAATACGACTATACTTCTTTCAATATCAGTGATTGTCGATTTAACTCATCGTACTTCGACTTGGACTTAACAAAACTTACAAAGGACAACAACAATAACACTGAAGTTAATGTATTTATAAACAAATGGTATACTCCTCTTGTTTCGAATTACCAGACGTATATATTTAAGTCTTCGTTAAATGTAATATATATTGAAAAACTGGAGTATCAACAGAACAAAAGTCTTGTATTTGAAATCAATTGTATTGTCAAAAAATTGGTAATCAATTCGATTGCCAATTACACATTTAAAAATTTTTTGATAATAAATAACATCATTGTGATGTACGAAGATTACTCGGACTCAATTCTATTTGAAATTCAGGGATCGTTAAATGACAACACAAATATACTGACCGCATGTGGTCATCGTGCTGTAATGAAAAATCACATAGATAGAACTTGCATGTGTACGTATGTATAAACTGTAATTCATAACATGGTAGTAAACTATATTATAATTAAATTTATTATAATTATATAATACCTTAACAAAAAACAATATTTTAATATGAAAAATTCCCCAATGTCTTGAGTAAAAATACTTCAAAATTAATTTTTAACAAGATAAGCCGCGTTTTATTAGACAAATATATAATAGTGTATTAACTAGGGTTTAAAAAACAAACAATAATAAATGTACCAGATAAACTGTCCGATTCTACGAAAAATCGCATGGTTAAAATTAAAGGCGTGAGAATTGCTTTAACAAAAGGAATGACTTATAAAAATATCCAAAAGTTGTTTTCGATGTCTTTTCGCGACATTTCCACAACAAAAGACTTAAAAGAAGATAAGCCAATTGTTTTAAAAAAGAAAGGAAGAAAAATAAAACATGACAAAGAATTCACAATGAAAGTAGTCGAATTGACATCAAAAGATATTTTTTCTTCTTCAAAAATTATTCAAAAAGAAATAAAAGGTAGTGCATCAACGGTCAACAGAATCAGACACGAAGAAGGATTCATTTATACCAAACAAATCCAAAGACCGAGCATGAACCCAATTCACTTTAAAAGAGACTTGAATTTTGTAAGAAACAGACAGAAAAACGCTCGAAAGTGTATGCATTAAATAAATGGATGAACAATTCAATATACTCTGATGTAAGCCGCTTTTGCTTGCTATCTGATGGCCGTTGTATTTTGAGGAAAAAGGGGGGAGTATACAGAAGGATCTTTCGTGGATTGTTCTAAATACAATGTGTCTACAATGGTGTGGGGAGGCATAGGGAAAAATTTTAAAACGAAACTATCTATTTGTCAAAGTTTCATGAATAAAGATGGTTATGTTAAAATGTTAAAAGAAAATGAAGTTTTTGTAGATGCCAAAAAAGTTTACGGAAAAAGATTCTACTTTATGCAGGACGGGGCTACATGCCACACTGCAAAAACACGATGTATTGGTTTGAAGTAAATGGTGTTAAAGTAGTCAAAAACTGGCCACCATATTTTCCTGATCTTAATCCAATTGAAAATTTATGGAGCATCATGGAGAAGCGTCTAAGATTAAAAAGAGCTCGTTTCAAAATGTAAAAGAGTTGGAAAAGGAATTATTTGCTGTATGGGATTTGATTTCCATGGAAGAAATCAACAATTTGATTGATTCTACACAAAAAAGGTTTGCATTGTGTATCGAAAATTGTATACAATTTATTGGATATTTACTTTGAAAACAAAGCAAAAATTATTTTTACTTCCGCGTTTTCTATATCCTCGATCTTAGTGAATTTAGTTGATTTTTTTGATTTTAAAGGTTTTTTTATTTTATATTGAAAAAACTTTAAAGATAAAGTGGTAGTAAATTCTACAAAAACAAAATAATACGATGTTTTTGTTTTAAACAATGGGATTATTAGGGTTGTATTTAAATGGTAATACCAATTTATGGTTTCCAGTTTATGTAAATTAATGGTATATAGATTGTAACAACATTAAAGTATTGATATTGGATACAACTAACATATAAAATGAAATATATTTGATGTTAATATAATAGTATACACTTTTATTTTAACTTTTTTTCAATATAAAAATAAAAAAAACCTTTAAAAAACTAGAAAAAATCAACTAAATTCACTAAGATCGAAATTATAGAAAACGCGGAAGTGAAAATAATTTCTGTTTAGTTTTCAAAGTAAAAACTCAACTTCCTCTTTCTGTGGAACATCAATTTTTATAGTACCCCAAGAATATCCACGATCTATTCTGGGATTAGTTAACGCATTATAAGGAGTAGAAAGAATCGGAAGAATAGTATATGTCCCATTTTCAGTGTATTCATTTTCAAACACTTCAAACACAGAATCAAGAGGCCATATAGTAATTTTTATAACTTCTGGTAAAGAACCATGCTTCTTAAGCATTTCTCTAAGATTTAATAAAATATCGGGATCATGAATACCATTCAAAACATAAGGATCAGATGGGTTATCACACATCTCAGAGCGACTATAGTTCACATTGAAATTACGAAAACCATAAAAAGTAGGAGTGATAACCAAAATTTTCTTTTTCACATTTTCATTATGTGAAAAAGAAAATGAAAAGTGTGACGAAAAAATCCAAAGAAACAGGAAATTTCTCAAAATGAACTCACCCGAGTTCAAAAATGCGTTGAAAACAATTGCAAAGCTCTCAGAGGAAGACAAAATTGGGCAGCTTGTTTACTCATGAAAAGTAGTGTCTGATGGCGACACGATGACCAGCGCTTTCAAACAGGTTGGTATACTTTATGTGGTTCTACACCCATCTAAAGAAGAGTTGGAAAATATGAGACGTGTCAACCCCAACTTCAACACTGTAGACCTTCTTAAAGGTATTGCAAAAGTTGACATGTCTTATGCCAGAGAGGTTTGCTCTTTTCTTGGTAAGGATCCAAAAAGAAAAGAAACCCAAAATGTTAGAGTTTCCATTGAAATTTTTACTGACAGAGAGCACAGGCTCGGTGTTGAAAAATTTATGAAAATCAAAAAGGATGAAAAGAACAAAATTTCAAATGAAAAGAAACTTCTAAAATAAATAATAACTTGGTTTTATTTTTTTAATTTTTTTAATTAAATTTTCTATTTTTTTATTAAAGCGTTTTATCGCAATAAAAATCTGTAAAATATAAATTTTTAAAGTTCTAATAATCAAAAAATAGAGAAGGGTATAAAAGAGAACTTTTAAAGTGTAAATAACAAATTATTACGTTTAATGCTAAGTTAACCATTTTTTGTTTGTTTATTAGACAGCAACACATTGAAAAAAATGATTAATGCTATAGTGAAGATAAGGAACAAGCCGATAATAAACAAGCCGACATTCATTCTTGTTCTATTTATTGATTAAAATTATCAAACTAAACGTTTATTTTTTTATTTGAAAACAAATGTATTTTTTGTTAAATGTCTCTATAATGTTAGCAATATCCCATTTTCTTTAAAATAAATTCTGTAATAACTCAACTATTAACCGTAATATAAATCGACTTTAACTGCCTTCTTCTAAACACTTCAAAAAAATGCTCAGGCAAAATGAAAATGATGTTTTTTTATTTTTGTTTAAATAAAAAAATAAAATCAAATAACATTCAGAAAACACATTACCATTATTCACCAAAAATTATTAAAAGCGGTTTTTTCCACCCCTTTATAAAATTTGAAATAACGGGATTTTTGTTCCAGAAAAACACGCGAGTAATCCCCAAAATGCATTTTATTATAAAAATATGATAAAATAATTGAATAAAATTTTTGAAGTCGAGTCTTCATTTATAATAATTAAAAAAGGCGCAAAAGTATCGCTTAATATCGATATATCGATTATATTTTCACTATAATGACTAGATTGTCATAACACAAAATTATTAATTGTTTGCTTTATTTTTTTTGTTTTTAGTGTTTTTTAAAATTCTTTATTTCATTTTCTTTTGTCCAGAGTAGAAAACCACATGTTTGTTTTTAATTAAAATGAAAAATTTTTAATTAATTTTTTTAAATTAATTAAATTTAATTTAATTTTTTTTAAATTAAAAAAAATTAAAATTAAAAAAAAGTGATATTTAGTAACAAATTGACACAAACAACAACATCCCAATTTATTAACGTGTTTATCGTTGTGTGAATTGACTTACAACGTTAAGTTTGTGTTGTATAGTCGATTTAAGGTCAAATCAAATAACGGTATTGGTATTTTTTTCAAAATTAAGTCTGTACTTATAATTTTTTGTTTTTTTTTGTTTTTAAAGAAAAAAAAATAAAAAACGGGACTTTAGGAAGTTCTAAAAATACGGCGGTACAGTCTTTTGAACTACAGTTTATATTTGATTATCATTGATAATTAATCATTTGTGAAGTGTTATAAATTACAATAATTTTGTATTTTAATTGACTGTAAATTTAACTTTAAAAAATAAATCTTTATTTTAATTCATAATAATCTCCTGTTAAAATAACATAAAAAGAAAACTCTGTAATTAAAACAAAAGTGTAAGAGCAATGGCCAACAAAATAATAACCATCTTCAAAGCTCCATTGCATTTTCCCGAAGTTTTATTAAGCGTTAACCCATCTTTGCATTTACTGCATGAATCTTTTGTATTGCAAATTATGCATCCACTGATATGTCTGTCACAAGGCACACAAGCTCCCCATGATGTTGTGTAATATCCTTCTTTGCATACACATTCGCCTCCTTTAGCTTCAAAATACTCCGCATTACACACAGAGCATTTCTCTGTACTACATGAAGTACAGAATTCGTTCAATTTGTCTTTGCATGGATCGCAAGTCTGAGTTTTTGTGTCGTAAACATATCCTTCAATGCACACACATATTCCATCAACAGGAGTTTCCTTAAAGAAATTTTCAACAGCACATTTAACACACTTCATTTGGTCTTCACATACTTTGCAATTCTTTGAACACGTCAAACAATTTTCCCCACTTAGATAATATCCATCATTGCATCCTTCGCACTTATTCCCGGGAACTGGCTTGCGGTTTACATCAATGCACTTTTCACAGTCTGTTGCACTTGTACAATTTTCACATTTACTGTCGCATTGTTTGCATTTATTTTCTTTGGTGTCCAAGTAATACCCTTTGATACACTTTTCACATGTAAAACCAGTTCTGAAAGTTGCTGGATCACAAACAGTGCAATGCTCTTTATCAGTGCAAACATTACAATTATCAGCGCAAGGTTCACATTTACCATTAATATTCAAAAACCTGTTGGTGTCTTTACATGTTGTGCAATTTGTTGTTGGTTCTCTTAATTCATCAACACACTCAGTACAATGGACGTAAATGCCGTTGCCATAGTCACATTCCTTTTTGCAAACAGTCAAATCGTTGAGGCAATTGACACATGTATTGGTATTTGGATCAAGATAGACGCCCTGATCACATTCACATTTTGGTGGATTTCTACTATTTTTACAACCCAAACATTCTATATTTCCATCTTTAATTTGACACCCATTGCATACACTTGGACATCTTGCACACGATCCATCGGTTTCGTTGAATGTAAAACCTTCTTTACAAGTTGTGCAATACTTTGTTGGGTCTGAAGCAGGCAGTGCTAAAATAGCATTCCCATCTTTACATTGAGTGCAAGCAGTTGAATCACATGTTAAACATCCGATTCCATGATTGCATGTTTGACACACTTTTGTGTTGTCCATATAATATCCATCAACACACTGCGAGCATTGTGTTGTTCCAAATCCAATTGCCATATGATCTTTATCACATTGCAAGCAATTAATTTGTTTGTTTTGGACAACATAATTTTTGTTATTTGAGCATCCTTCTATTTTCTTGACACAGACATCTATCTTATTAGCTTCAGTTAAAAAATCGGTATTACATTCACATTGTTTTGTTGGGTCTCTTCCCTGTCCATTATAAAGTGTTGGTTGACATGTCAAACAAGTCACTTTTGTTTGACCAGTTTCCCAAACACAAGTTGCACATTTTTCGGGGCACTTTTCACATTTTTCATCTTTTAAATAAGTTCCTGTTGGACAAACACATTTTCCTTCTGATGTGTATTTTGCTCCAGTTGCGCAGAGTGTGCAATATTTGCCATTGGCACTCTCAATACAACCGTCAAGGTTAGTCATTTTTGAACAATCTGTAAACGTTGAAGCATTTGTTTGATAATATCCATTTTTACACATACAGTTTTTGGTCACATCTCTGTTGTTTTTCGCGCACTCTATTTCAGTTTTATCAGTAGTTTGTGTTTTGTACATGTAACTTCTTCTTAAAATTGGATTGCATTTACTTCCAGGATTGGTGGTCTCGTTATATGCTGGTACCAACTCTTCAAAAAAAGAGTTCACTCCTTTGTACTTACAGAACTTATAAGTTGTATCATAAGTACCAATTTCAGCTGGCGCGTCCGATAAAATTTCTACCAAATTTTCGGTTGGAGTTAATATGCATTTTCCATTTAATAAAACACCATTTGGGTTTCCATTATTGAAAGCGCATTTGTAGCAAGTCACACCATCATCGGCACATTGCGCACAATTTTCATCTTCGCATGGTTCTGTTTTTGTCGCTTTCCAATTATCGTACAAAGAACTTCCAGGCATTGGCGTATCTGCAGTCAAACAATCCATAAAATGTCCTTTGCATTTTTTGCATGAATAAACTTTTGTTTCTTTATCATAATCAAGATAATATCCAGTCTTGCAAATTGGGCTTCCTGAAGATTTATCTAACCCATCATTTGCAAACGGATTGCATATTCCATTAAGTGCATAATATCCGTCTTCACAAATACCACATTTCCCATCCGATCTGAATTCAACACAGTAATTGGAAACACATTTACCTCCGGAAACTTTACATCTTTTATTACATTGAGTACATTTGGTGGTATCATACAATTCACACAAACTGTCGTACTGTTTGTTTTCATCTCCTCTCACTCCACACATTGTACATTTTCCTGTATCTTCAATGTAATATCCTTCTCTACATGATGTGCAAGTAATCTTTGTAAGTGTTTCTTTGAGTTGATTACAATTTGCGTCTTTTTTAACACATTCTTTAGATGATAGAATGTATCCAACATCACACTTCAAACAGTTGTCCCCATTTTGTCTTAAACAACCTTCAATTATTTTTTGTTTGGTTTGACAATGTTTTTCTTCATTAAGTGTTTTGTCTCCATAGCATTTTAAACATACAGGTTTGCCTTTTTCCAATCCAGAAAGAGCACAATTTGTTTTATCAAAAATTTCGTCTCCATTTGGAGCATCTTCACACTCATCTAAATTTACTTTTGTTGCAAGTCCTTGCCCACAATACTTACATTTTGTCGTTTTTGTTGATCCACTTACTGAATCAAAAGTACTTACACATTTTTTGCAAGTGTCAAAAATGTCGTTAAAAGAACAAGTACAGGCACCTGTTGAACTACATTTGTTACATCCATAATCACAAAATTTGCATTCAGCACCACTTTTATATACATAGGGATCATCTACTTTACAATTTTTTGGATCATAAACACACTTTCCATTCTCGAGTTTAAAGTAACTATTTTCACACTCAATACAATTGATAGTATCAGTCGGATTTCCATTATCATCAAGTATTCTTTTGAACTTTTTGCAGTTGGGATAAGTTGTTCTTGGTTCTTTTTCTCCAACTTTCAAAAAAGGATCCGCGTTTGCCAAAAGTATTACTAAAAAGGTTAAAAGCATTTGTTTAATTCAGTTTTATTTTTTTGTCAATAGAAACAAATTTTATTAGCGCTATTATTAGTATAAAATTTTTGTTGTTGATCAACTAAAGTTATTTATGTCATCTCTTTATATTTAAAAGACTTAACAAAAAATTATTCAAATCATTTATATAACATTTTTTTTTGAAACTAATTTGTAATTATAAATGTAGTTTAAAACAACTTTTCATTTTTTGTTTGGGGTCCAAATTTATCACATAATAAAAATGGAAATCTTTCATTAAATGAGTATTTTAAATAAAAATATGTAATCATTTACATTGTTACAAGTTTTGATAAATTTATTGTGGTAATTATTGTGATTCACAACAAAAATTATCCATTTGTTTTAAGATATTGATTTCCTTTATTATAAACCAACATATCAATAACATATAACATTTATTGAAATAACCATTTATAATAACGTATCGTTATTAACAGTTAAAAATATGAAAATTAAAAAGCTTAACAATTTTATTTTGCTTAGTTTTAATGTTCCAATTTAATATTTCAACCTAAACACAATTGCTTAATTAGCACAATTATTAAAAATATAGTTATTATTTTTATTAATATAACCACTTTTTTTATAATACTTGATATTATTTAAATTTATGTTTATTTGACAACAATATAATCATTGAAACTAAAATTGAATGGAATTATTAAAAAAGGTAATTTTTAAATATTAGTCTCAACAATTGTTTTTAATTGTTTTGATTAACATTTTATTGTTTTGTTTTGTTTATTAATTCAATTATATTAATGTTTAATAATCATTTGTTCGTTTCAAAATCGTCATATATTTGGTAAAAAAACAAAGATTTAATTAAAGTCAGTCTGTAAACGTTGTACACTCCCCAAACGTTGTTTTTTAGTGTTATATTTTTAGAACTATAGAAAGTTCTTACAATAAACGAAACTATCAGCAAAAAAACAATAATGTTTACCATATTAAACTTATTTTTTTTTAGCAATTCCCGCTTTAAAACAATTTCAAAGAGTAAAAAAAGAAATAATTGGATTAAAGCAACTCTAAAACTAATAAACGTCAACCCTAATAATCCCACATTTTGGTTATTATTCAACTCTATTATTTATCTTCCTTTTATTTACAAAAACATATGTTCAGAAAAGATAAAAAACGAAAAAACTTGATGAGTAAATATAATTAAAAATAACACTTTTCAACACAAGCAAGACATAATTTTTATTATGAATAATTTATAAGCTTTTTGAACCACAAGAAAATGAAAATGTGGTATCAAGTTAACAAAATTAGATGTTTGAACATATCAGGGATTCTGGTATGCTTTAATTTTATCTTTATCAACTCAAAGAAAAAAAATTAGATTAATTTAAAGCTTTTTGTAATAAAATAGTCTAAAGATACTGCATTAACAATCTTTCGTCTAGTTGAAAGCATTAAACAAACGATAAGACAATTTCATTTTTTTTTCAAAATTATCGTAAAAAGAACACAAACACGTTAATCAAACTAAATTAAAATTCATGTGTTCGGACTTTATTTTAATTACTAGAACCAAGATTTTTGAGAGCGCTTGGTTTTGTGGTTCTATATTCAAATATTGTAACCAATAGGCATTTATGGTCTTTGTTATAAAGCTCATTTTTAAAACTTTCTGAAATTTTTTTTACTTGGTCTATTACAAAACAAAAAGAATCAAAACTTTTAAATTAAACAACTGATGGTTTTATTAGTAAGTATTTTATAGTTAAAATATAGTTTTTAATAGATTTTTAAACCTTTAAATGTTTATTATGAAAAAATATAACGGAAACGAATAATTTTAAAATGAATAAAACTTACAGTAAAATGTATTTGAGTTGAATTTAAATCCGATAAAATATGTTGGTATATCACTTGGATGATAAATAAAAATATTATAACATTCTATACAAAACTATAAATTATACTATAAAAACCCTTGAAATAATACAGACTTATCATTAGGAAAAAAGAGTGAATAACAGAGCCAACAAAACACTTAAATTTTTATCCTTGATTTTAGAGAACTTAAACATTATCTTTGCAGGGTCCTCCTTTCTAAATATAAGTGGCATGATTTATTTCTAATTATAAAGAGGTAAAAAAAATAATAAAAAGAGCAATTCAAAATAAAAATATACAAGAAAAAACAAAATATGCTTTTTTTACCAAATACATCTATTTCTCCCAAACACTTCTTAATATGTTATAATATATACAACTATATTATAGATACAATTCGATAACATTTATTTTTTAATTGAAAATATAATTAAAACCTAAATTGTTATTTTGAACTTTTTAATAACAACATGCTTACACCAAAGTTCCCAATTGAGATGAAAAAAAATATATGGGACGAAAGGCTAACTGAAGTACTCGACAAAAACAAAAGATTATTTTGTTGTAAATTTTGTGGGTATTTCCCAAACAAAAATGATGCTTCCGAACATTACGTGACACATCATGAATGTCAAAATGTGGAAGTTAGAAAAATAGTTGAAAATGCATACAATGCGGGTCAAAAAGCCGGTCACTACAAATCATTCGGAATTGTAACACCACAATTACACACTAAAAAAAAGTTATGATAAAAGTTCAGTTGATGGAGGAAGAAAACTCACAAATGAATTGGCAATGTTGTTTGCTGCCAATAACATAGTATCAAAATACCACGTGTTAAAAGATATTATATCTCTGTGTGCTGACTCGGTTAAGCAGTATGGCGTTGAAGTACTTGAAAAGGTATGTTCAAGTAATCAAACATTAACAAAAAGAGTAAGCGAATTCTCAAATAGTTGTATTGATGAAGTAAACATTGAAATTGACAAAGCTTTATTTGTGGCGTTTGCTTAAGATGAATGTAAGTTATACAAAAAACCATGGTACTCTTTTTCTGTGCGTGTAGTGGATGAAGATTTAAACGTCAGTGTAAGGCAACTAGAAATGAAAGTACAGTATGGAAATGCGACTGGTCATTTATTGGCAAGCAATATGAGAAAAAAGTGGATGATTACAATGTTGATCACAATAAAATATCTGCATTTGTTGGAGATGGTGGTGCTAATGTGATGGGTGTTAACAAAGGAATGGCCATACGAATGGTGAATGAATACAAGGAAGAAGGAGGAAGAAAGTGTCCCTTGTTTCCGGTATGGTGTTTTTGTCATCGACTAAGTTTGTGCACAGAAGAATGTCTTGGTGTTAAAGGTATGGGTGATTGTGTAGAAATAATTTCCGATATTTGTGAATTCTTAAGGGAGGGTGGTGAGTTTTATGATAAATACAAAACTACTCCACCAACATATTGTAAGACAAGATTTTTATCTTTAGAAAATACATTTAAATGGATCTTAAAAAATTATGAAAACGTCAAAACACATTTGATTAATTTTGAAATTCAAGATTATATTTACGGAAATTACACGGTTGAAGAACTTAAAAATATATTTCGAGATACGACAACAAAGATGAATATTTGTTTTATCGTCGATACTCTCGGAAGACTTCAACTTCTCAACAAGGAATTGTAGGAAAAAAAGTCTATTATTTTTAGAAGTTTTAAAAAGATTCAAATGTTTACCAACGACGTCAAGAAAATGATCAGCGAAGTGTTTAACAGGTCTTACGAACATTTCCCGCACATGAAGGAGTTTGACGATGAAACATATCCAATTGATGGAATGTTGGAGTTGTTGGATTGTCTTGAATCGTCCCTTCTCGTAAGATTTTCTTCTGTGGCAATCGCTCCTGTTTTTAAAGGAAGCAGTGCCGAGTTTATTAAACATCAAACACAAAACACCGAAAATAATAATCAACAATTGAATTACTACTGTGACTTCGCAAACAACTTTGATGCGTTTATTACTGGTAAGTTACAAGTACCTGATATATTTGAATATTATAAAAACGAAATTCTAGATTTACGAAATTATTCTGACATTTCAACTTTCAGGGAAAAAATACAACAAACAAAAGAAGCAAAAAGTAAAAACAGTGTTCTGACAAGTTCTGTTTCTTTGGATCTTTTGGATTATGTTCCAATACTTAGTAAGAACTCGAGGCTTTATTATCTTTTGGCGGTCCTCTTAAGCATTCCTCCAACAACAGCGATGGTTGAGTCGAGTTTTTCCATATTGAAAAGATTCTCACAATGTAATATCACCAAAGAAAAATTAAGAGAGCGAGTTCTTGTTAAGGACTTTTATTTAAACAAAAAAGAAAATCAAATACAGAAATCAAAAACCAAGAAATGAATAATAATTCAAATGTGGAATTAATTAATTATGTATAATTATTGTTATTTTAAAATTAAAATTATTAAATAATTTTTTAATAAAAAAAATTGTGTTGTTATTTTAGTTTAATAATATAGTTTGATAATAATTAATTAGTTTTAAATTGTAAAAAAAGATTTTAAAAAAAGTTGAAATTTTTTTACCTAAAAGCAAAAGTTGTCCTGGAATAATTAATTGTCTTAAGTAAAAATTAAAAATTACATTCTATTAACACGTGTCATTTTTTGTTGATGTGGTGAAACGTGGTGGCTGGTTTTTTGAAAAAGGAGGACCCTGGACTTAACAACGTTATTCGACTGATTCTATTGAAGACATTAATCAACTTTTAAAAACTTTTTATTGTTTTTTTAACCAATTTTTATATTTTTCTTGCTTCAAAGAACAGTTTAGAAGTCGTTTTTTTATGCTTCCCTTTTGTCTTTCGACAAATTCAACCTTATCTTTACAAGAAAAATTAATGTATAATCTCAAAAATGATTTTTGGCATTTCGAAAAAAGAAATTAAGTTATGTTAACCTTGTTTTTTTGAATCAAATTGCGGAAAAGTGGAAAAATAAACTATACAACTAACTATAAAAGTGTTATTAAATTACTATTATTTTGGCAACATCGCTTTTTTTCTGCCCCTTTATAATTAAATTCAGATCTCTGCGTTTGGGCTTCGCCCCTTCAGGTTTTTCCAAAACCGTCCTCCTCGCGATTCAATTAAATTATGATAAAATATAGTTTATAATGTTGTATCCTTTAATTTAACATAATTTATGGGTTAGCTATCTTCCACCGACACCAGTGCACATAAGTTGCACAATTAAATAAAATCAAATAACATTTTGTGAAAAATTGTGTTTTTCTATTTTTGATTTTTTTAAACCAAAAAAGCTTTTTTAATTGTAGCAATTCTTCAAACTTTTAAAGTTTTGTAAAACTATCTTTAAACTTAAAAAACAAACTATGATTAAAATAAATTGACAATATCACACATTGTTTCTTTGTAAACAATAAGACGAGGTTTACCACAGTTGTCTTCATTTGTAAATAAATACTGCCTAATGTCATATCTGGCGACTTTCTTAATGTCAAAAGTCTATTTTGAAACATAAGTTTAGGTGTGAATGATACAAAAAATATATTTTTAAGCTGAGGCTGCAGTACAATACACAAACAATTTGCCTACTATCAAATTATGGGCAATATATGAAATGTATAAATAATCAAAGTGTATAAAAAGGTAATAAAAAATTGAATTAAATAGATTAGTTATTGTTTAAAGTCTGGTGTTATTTGCTTCATTTTGCAAGTTTTTGCATAATGGCCTAGATTGCCACAAACAAAACAATGCTTCGGTTTAGATTGAGATGGATCTTTTTTCTTGTGTTGTGATTTTGTCTTTCCTTCAGCTAAGTCTACTTCAGTTGAAGCTTTGACTTGTTTTATTTTGGTGAGTTTTGTAGGATCTTTAATGGTATCAACAACAAGAGTCTCATTTAAACAAGTTCCAATTGTCGTTTCTGTTATTTACGAGTCCTCGAATAAGAGATTAATTTATTTCCCAATGAGTTCTTGTTTTCGATTTTCTCTTCTTGGACTTCTTCAAACACAACCTTTTTCCCTTCAAAAACATTAATGACTGTTGGAATAATTCGAGGATTGGCTTTGACGTTTGGGTAATACTTCTCGAGTAGCATTTGAAAATCGTTAAATGACAAATTTTTTAACTCTTCGAGTTTAAGGACTTTAGACTCATGCGTAACAAGTTTGGCTGACGTTTTGAGTCTTTTTAAATCAAACAGTCTTAAAGGAACTTTTTTGAAACTTGAGATATAAAGTCTTAGTAAATGGGGACAAGGAAATCCATTATTAGAAAATGATAGACATGAACACGAATTTAAGGAAGTAATACACGTGTTTGAGTCAAAAAAAAGACATAAGAAGAGGATCTCGTACCGTTTTTACACACTCAACCAAAGCATCAGATGTTGATCGAGTTATACATATAAGTACATCATCTTCAAAATAACTAGAAAGAAGGTTTATATTGTCAGTGTTATTATAGTTATAATTGGAATTTGTTTCTAATGTCTTAGAACAAGAGACTAAAGATTTGGCTATTTGTTCGAGAGTGCACTTTTTGTGTTCAATTTTACGTTTGAGCCATCCAAAAAAGCCCTCAATTCCATTTGAGGTGGAGTTGGTGGTTTTAGTCATCATCGAACTTGGAAGCCAGCATTTTGCACAGTCGAGAAGTTCACGAAACATTCGACACTTGGTTGGCGAAGAGTTCTTTATATTTGATTTATTGGTACATTCAATCAATGTTTCTAAAGTTTCTTTTACACAATCCATAATATGGTTACCGTCAAGTTCGGTGTTTTTATCATCATAAAAGTTTTCTTCTATTTTAGATGTTTCATCTTGTATGATTTGGTTTTTCATTGCTACAATCAATTGTTCTTCGGTTCCTTCTTTACCAAACACCACTTTATTAAATAAATTGACAAGTGGGTGGTATTTACCAAACTCTGTTATTAAATTACGTCTTATATGTCTGGTACAAAACACCAAATTGACGTCTTTAAAAACTTGAAGCAGAGCATTTGTTTGGCTCAAACAACGGTCACAAATGACTACTGTCAAATCATAAAATTTTTTAACATAAGAAAAGACCAATACAAAAGATTGTGTCGTTCTGTTAGTCATCAAAGCGAAAAACACACAATGAGACCTTTTTTCTTTGTCAATATTTACAGCAACAACTAGAGGTAATCCAAATTCATTAGTTCCACAAGTGTCATCAACAACAACTTCTCCGATATCTCTTGATGTACATAATGTTTGGTTGATACAAACACAACCTTGAAAAATACCACGTCGATTTGTAAATATAATTGTAGACCAGTCTGACAAGGAATTAAAATAATCTCTCAGTTGTTTGGCTTGACACAATTGGTTGTCTTTTCTATCTTTGTGTAATAATGATGACATCACTTTACCTGTAAAAGGTAGTCCAAACTCATCTTTAATATTGTCTGGAGATATACCAAGCTTAAATCTGTCTTTCATCCTTTTCATTTCTTCTTGTGTGAAAAATGGTTTGACATTATCTGGGAGATAATCAAATGTATGAGAATGAAGATGGTGAAAAGTAATTTGAACCACATGGGATTTTTGTTTTGAAAGTGACATTACTAATCTACATTTACAACCTCTGTAAACACATTTGAAAAATTGATTCGAACTGTTTGTATGCCTGTTTGCAGTTGTGAATAAAGAAAATGCACCACCGTTGATCGTAAATACTGATGCTTCTTTCATTTTTCTTGCTTGGGTTTCGAATGAATATTCTTTGAATGCTTCTGTTATTTGGTTTACAACCACTTGAGGCGTTTTAAAGTAATTATAATTCTCTTTTTCATCAACATTGATGACGTAGTCGATATGTATCGAATTCATTTGAATGGTTTGTTTTTTGAGTTTAAAGATAGTTTTACAAAACTTTAAAAGTTTGAAGAATTGCTACAATTAAAAAAGCTTTTTTGGTTTAAAAAAATCAAAAATAGAAAAACACAATTTTTCACAAAATGTTATTTGATTTTATTTAATTGTGCAACTTATGTGCACTGGTGTCGGTGGAAGATAGCTAACCCCATAATTTATATACTACTATACACTTTTTTATTTTTCTATGAAAATTATTCACTGAGTATATATAGCTATTCTAGTAAACATAAACATATATTTTATTATATTAATATCAATAAAGTATTATTTATATTATTTATATAAATAAAAAAAATTAGTAAATAAGTAAAACTGAATAATTCAAATAAAACTAAGATATGATGATATTGACAGAATTTGAAAGAACAAAGATACATTGAAGCCATATAAAAAAGACTTTCTTGACTTATCAAAGGAAGTTCATTTCAGAATTGTTCAGTTTGCATGTTGCCGGTGGTGATGACTTCGGAGCTTCGGCTGGTGGAGCCAACAAGGGATAGAAAGGTGCCAAGTTTTTGACTGTGGGATCTAATTACAGAGAACAACTTGATGATCTTATGAAGAAATTGAGAATGACTACACCACATTATATTATATGCATTCTTTTAAATACACAGAAGAGAAGACACTACTTCATTGACTCGACTGTCTTGAAGCAATTGAGATGCAATGGTGTCTTGGAAGGTATTAGAATTACACGTCTTGGGTATCCAAACAAAATGAATCATCTACAACGAATTCTTGAAGAGATACCTTTTTCTTGGAACGAACATCAACAAGAAGTCTTCAGATGCTATGCCAGTAGTCAAGGATCTCATGAAACTATTTTGTGAGAAGTATAAAAAGGATGGCAAGAGTGAACACTGAAGAATTCAAGTTAAATAAGACCAAAATTTTCTCCAAGGTTGGTGTTCTTGTTGAAATTGAAGAGATTAGAGAAAACAGAGTCACTGAACTTGTCGGTGGTCTTCATGTGTGTGCAAAAGTAATCTCACAAAGAAAGTTTATTGAACAGAAACTCAATGAACATATTGCCATTATTGTCATTCAAGACACCATTCACACTTGGTACCAATTCAGAAATTGGGTTTGGTTCAGATTGTTACAAAAGGTTAGACCAATACTCAAAAGGAGAGGAGTCAACGAAGAACCGCAGCCAAGGACAAAGAAATTGAAACTTTGAAGAAAAAGCTTGCTGAAGAAATTGCAAAGAGAGAAGCCGCCGAGAAGGCACTTTTTGAGATGAAAATCAAGAACGTCGACTTGGAAGCTTTAGTCCAAAAGTTTAAAGAAGATATTGAGTCAAAGAAGGTTTCTCTCGACAAGGCTGATATGAAGTCACGAGAAGAACAAGAACACATTGAGGAACTCCAAGGTGATATTAAGAGAGGAAAGGAAGACTTGGGCAAGTTAACCACTGAGTACAAATAACTTAAAGCTGATAATCAAAGACTTCAAAACGAAAATATTGAACACAAAACCACTATTGCTAAGAAGGATAGTGTCATCATAGAGTTGAACAAAGATATTGAAGATAAGGAAGGTGAAATTTCTGACTCGAAAAAGAAACTAGTGGTTGAAGAAGACAATTCAAAGGATCTTGAGACACAATTGCACGAGAAGGAAGACGATATTGGTGACTTGGAGAAACAAGTAAAGAATTTGCAAAACACCATTTCGGATGTTAGTGCATAGAATAAAAACACTGGCTCTGTTTGAATGATATTAAAGACGATCTTGCCAATACTAAAAAATGATTTGAAAAAGACTCAATTGGCTCTTGACGATACTGAGAAGAAACTCGACAAACAAGTTGCTCAGAACAAGAAGGTCTCAGACGAAAAAGATGGGTATAACCAACAATTGCAAGCTGAGAAGACTAAGGCTGCTGCTTTGACTTCAGCAAATGGTGTAAATGATAAGATGATTTCTGCTTTAAACTCGGAGAAAGACGAATTAGAAGATAAGAACAGAAAACTTGATTCTTTTAATAAAGATGCTCAGAGAAAACTTGCTGAGTTGGTTAAGAGAATTGAAGATGGTCTGAATGACTCTGATATGTTGAAAGCACAGAAGGCCGACTACGAAGCCCAAATCCAAGCGTTGAAAGACGATATGGAGAAGACTGGAAAAGACTTGGCTGGTGCCAAATCGATAATGAACCAAAAAGACGTTGAACTTAATAACTTGAGTGAACTGCTTGCTGAATAACAAAAAGAAAAGGAAGAACTTGAAACAGTCAAGAAGGACAAATTTGCGAAAGAAAAAGTTGCCAAGAAGTTGAAAACAGAAAACGACGAAATTAAAGAAAAGGTGAAGAACTTACGAATGACAAAGACCAACTTTCTTCTGAAAAGAAGAAGCTTCAAGACCAATATGACCAACTCATTAACTTGGTCTCAGTACACGAAGATGAGACCAACAACTTGAATGGTTCAATCAAAAAGTTACAAAGAGACTTTAGAAGCAAACAACACCGAGTTGACTGAATTAAGAGACAGAACAGCTAAAGACAAGAATAAATATAGCCGATTTGGAACAACAAGTACAAGACCTTGAAGAGAGACCAGTTGTGACTTCAAATATTGATCAAACTGAAGTCATCAAGAGAGACAACCAAATCGCTGATTTGGAAAAGGCAGTTGCTGCGTTGAAAGAACAGAACACTCGACTTGATGCTGCTAAGAAAGATATGAAGAAGCAATCTGTCGAAGACGCTTCGAAGATTAAGAATTATGAATCACAGATTAAGGCATTTGAAGCACAAAAGAAGATGGCATTAGACGACAAAACGGAGGACGAGAAGACTGCTGCTGACCAATCTGATAGAAGAAAGAAGATGGAAGACCAAGTCAAAGCATTCAATGCACAAGTCTTATCACTTTAATTCCATGTCAGTGCACCAGCTTCTGTTGCTCAAAAAGAAGAGAAGAATATGTTGAATGCAAGAATTGCTGAAATTCAAGCCCAACTTGATGAAGAAAGACAAAAGGCTGACAGTGCAGATGCTGCAAGAAAAGCTGCTGAGAGCAAGTTGCAGGAAGTCCAGTTCAACTTAGATGAAGCAAATAACACTAAAGAAAAGTTGACTAAAAAGCGAATGACTTGACCGTCCAAGTTGATCAACTCACAGATGAGGAGAAGAATAAAAATGATTTGGAGGAAATGGACAAGATGATTAACGACTTGAATGCCGAAGTTGACAAGGCACAGAAACAACTTGACACTGCAAATGATGACAAAGATGGCAATGAAGAGATGAAACAGAAATACCAAGACGAACTGAAGAGTGTTAGAACTGAACTTGATCAAAAAAAGAAAGACCACACTAAGACCCAATTGATTAAAAAAAGTACGAGAAGGATATCGCTAAAATCACAGTCAAAGCTGAAACTTTTGAGAAGAATGTCCAGATGGCTGAGAGAAGACTATGAGAGATTATAAAACTGCCTCCGAAGAATTGATGAGAACAAAGACAGAACTCGATGAGAAACAAGACGAATGCGACAAACTTGAAGATGATATGTCTGAGATGAAGTTAAAATTGGAAGCCTTTGAACAAGCTGCGAAGACTTATAAACAGTCGAAGAACACTTACGAGAAGAAATTGACTGAGTTGAATGAACAACTTGATCTTTAAAAAATAACTGCCCAACAGATTAAAACCCAGAAGAAGAGCAATGCAGACAAACTCAGAGAAGTGATGGAGAACGAAAACGAATTTGGTGAATATAAGGAACATTTTGATGAATTTATTAACTCTTTGACTGCTCAAAAGGCTGATTCACAGAAGGAACTTGAGAAGGAGAGAGCAATGAAACAAAAACCCGACAAAGAAACTCAAAAACTTAGAGTTAAAGTCACCGATTCAGAAGCTAAATTGGCAGACGCCGGTGCTACTGGAGCTTCTATTGCTAAATTGAAAGCGAAACAGAAAAGGAAGAAGCACAAGACGCAGCTGCTAAAGCTAAGAAACAAGCTAAACAGTATGCCAGAAAGGTTGAAGAGGCTGAGAGAAAGCTTGCAGAATTCGAACAGAAAGAGTCTACATTCAACACTCATATTGGTAAGACACAAGCCGATTTGAAGAAGACTCGACAATAAGTCAGAGATGGAGAATTGAGAATTGTTGAGTTGTAAGACGGGTCAGAAAGGCCGGTGAAGATCTGAACAACAAACAACTTGAAATTGATCGGGTTAGTGCAATTACTTTTAAAGACTAAGAACAATTCGATTCAAGTAAAACACAAAAAGACAAAAATAAATAATTATTACATTGTTTTATAGTTTTTTTAAATTAAAATCTAAAGTCTGATTTTTAATTAATGATATTCCAAAAATACAACAAGGAAATTTATTATATCAGTTTTTTTTATATTATAATATATAGTATCGACCATCGCTAATTAAAAACCATAAATACATAGTAAATTTCTTATTAATTTTTACTATTTGATATTCTCAAAGAAACGTTGGTTGTCAATTTTGTTTTGCTTTTCAAATCAATCGGTTTCACGTTTTAATCGCCTTTAAATTATGACACTTCTGTGATTAACTGTATTAAATGGTCTGCCGGTTGGTTGATATTACTCGGAAATTAGCCAAAGAAAAAATTACAAACTCCACATTTTTTGCTTTTTTTTTAAATGTATAATGTGGTCAAAAAGTAAAAAAATTTAAAAATAAAACAAAAAATTATTATTTCGAAAAAAAAAGAAAAAAAGCTATTTATTATAATTAAAAAACTAAATATATAGTTAATATCTCCCTCATTAATTAAAAATTAGACTTTAGTTAAAATACAAGAGTCTAGTTATCAAATAATAATATTTTTATTATTTTTTATAGTTTAATTTCAACTAGATGCCTCGAGTCTTTGAAAAATGCCTATTCAAATAATTTTCATTGAATGATGGATATATCCAATGACAATAAAAGATTGTGATGTTCTATTTTTAATAAAGAATTAGAGTTTCGATACAAAATCGTTACAAATTAATTTAATCATATTAACTTTATCTGTAGAACGCAAAAATACATTTAAAAGTAGCGATTCATTTCACAACATAACTGATGTTTTTATATATTTAAAATAGTCAATTTACTATATACTGTCAATTGTAATATTCTAATTATGTAATAAAGTCTATTGATCTTTTCTAAGTTTGTTGCTTTATAAATTTGTGTTACCAAACTATTAAATTATAATTAATTATATCAACATTCGTGCTATTTGTTTTTAGATGACAATATTAACTTTAATATGATTATAATATAATCATATAGTTTGTAATTTGAAAAAACCCATAATAAATAAAAATACCAAACTAAACTGTATTCCAAAACTCTGTACTGTTTCCAAAATTTATAAAAACCCTTTGTCCTAATTTTCCATTATTTACTGTTTTTTATCTGTTTTATTTTCTATTTTCCTTTTTGTTGAACCAACAACAGTACACAGTTTGAAACCCTTAAAAATCAATACAATTTCAATTATTGAACAAAAAATCGGGAAAGCATCCAAAATTTAGGCAAATCTTTCCCGATTTTCCAGGTTCGTTTTTTTGGTTAGTGATTCATTTTGTAACTAAACGTGAGTAAAATTTTATCTTTCAGATAAACATAAGATAAACGACAATATAATGATTAACAAACGATGTGACGGACGACACAATTGCGTTGAATGATATAATACTTTAACTAATAACAAGTTTTTGTTAATTTCAACAATTAAATAATAGCCATCGGATACATAAAACAACAAACATTTAAAAACGAACAAGTTCGCTAATTACTACAGTATTAAATGAAATAAACATTTAAAAAATAAAAAATAAAACTTTTCAATTGTAAAGTCTTAAACGATTTTATAAATGCTGGTTTTACTCGTTCATACTTTTTATTTTTATATGAAACACAACTTGGCTATTCTGTACACACAGATATTAAATTTAAAAATTGTGTTTTCTTTTTTGGGCAAAATTTGTGTTATGGTAATTAAAATTTTAATCCCAAGTTTGTTTTTTATATTTTTCAAGTAAATTTTGGGTGCAATTTGTCAAGTAAATTTAAAAAAAATCAAGTTTGTTATTTTGTTTTTTACGAGTAAATATTTTAAACAAAAAATGAGGGTTAAGCAAAGAAAAAATAATTTAGTAATTATTTGTCCAATAAATTGGGTCATCCCAGTACAGAGTTTTGAAAAATAGTTTACTTTCCATTTAATATACTTCAGAAACATACAACGGGACACAAAGAGTAGATATACCGCAACTATCGAAACTTGTTGAACCCAGCGAGTTGCGGCGTCGTGTATCCATCTCCGGAGAAGATACTTGACACAAAGAGGAGATGCCTGAAAGACTAGAAACATCAAAGATGTCCTAATCGAGTGTTCGTTCCAGTGTTAGTTTGAAGGGTAAAACCCGTTTTCTTTCCGTCTGTCCGACCCTTCAAAAGGACAGATTTTGTTAAAACTGTGTGCATTAATTCAAGTTATGGTGACGTGGCAAATTACAAATATGGCACTTTTGGAGTCAACATGTTGCAATGTTTAAAAATGTAAATAAAAAATGACAAAAAGTCAGTTAAGTTGGAAAACAACAACACTCTTTGGTGTGAAATATTTGTTATCAGTCAACTCGTTCTCTTTGGCGGTGTAAACGTGTGAATTGCAATAACTCCCGTTTTCATTTTTCTTGCGCACACATATATCATTACCATTAACACCAAATAAAAAGAGATATTGACTGTATTGAGGATATAGAAAAAATTCATAATCGGTTTCAATTCCTGTCTTACCAAACTTTTTTGGATTCAAAGTTCCATTTCTCACTAGTGAAAAAATGTACGAATTGCCACCATTGAGCCAATCGCCAACTTTATTAATATATCCAGTGAACACACCGCCAAACTTGTTGTGATTAGTGTCTTCGACCAAAAAACACAAGTTACATTTGTTCATAACTTTATCAATAAACACCGGAGTGTCTGTTGACCAGTCGTCTTTGTCTGGGTCAAAAACAACACTTCCTAATTTGTACCCCGTCAATTTCTCAAGACCATTTTTCTCTTCAAGTGTGATGTGTTCGCGTTTTTTTGAATTGATGAATTTCTGCGATTTAATAATTTGATCAACGTTGGAGTTTTTAATTTGTACAATTTTATAAATCTGGTCTGTATCTTTAAGTGGTTTTGTGTCTATATTGCATTTTTCTTCATAAAGTTCAATTCTAATATTAAATATCTCATACAACTTGTCGTTGTCACTCTCAGTTGAATATGAAGCCAATTCACTTTTGATTTTGTTGGATGCGCTATCCAAATCGGTGACGATTGTGTTGAGTGATGTTGTAATGTTCTTCTTTCTCTCAAATACCTCATCGAGTCTGTCGAAGTGTCCCTCTGCATTTTCAATGCGTTGATCAATGTTAAGTGACTTGTCATCAACAAAATTGTATTCCTTTTTTAATTTGTGGAAGTCTGACACCTCCTTTGCTGCGTTAGTGCAGAGTGCTGAGAGTGCTGTTAACTCGTTTTCCATTGTATGTTAATAGAGTTTATTTGTTTTAATATTTAATTTTATATAAATCTCATCCAAAAACACTAATACCTCATACATAATGATTTTTGAATTGAATTACAGTAAGACCTCGATTATTTTTAAACCTCGACAATTTCAAAAATATGATTGGTTGTTTGAAATTTTTTGGAAAAATGCGAGGTAATCTAAAGTTAGTTAATTTGATTATTAGCTGATATAACAATTTACTAAAAAATTCAAAATCTACAATTTGGAAAGTGTCAAGGTTTTTAAAATAAAAAAAATGGAAATAATCGAGGTCTTACTGTATCAAATTTTAAATAAATTAAATTTATATAAAATGATTTTAATTTTAAACCAGAGTATAGTAAATAAATTATTATACCTAATTTTTTGATTTCGTGTCAAAAAAGAAATTAAAAAAATAAATTATTATAAAATGATAAATATAGGTGAGCCACAAAACCGTTACGAAACGGGACCTACATTGACCACCACCTCTAAAAATAGATTTATTTTTTCTATTTCGAATCATATTCAAATTAAAATTATAGTAAATAGGAAACTGGGATAATATTAGGTCTGGTTCTCGAATTCAAAAAATGCCGAAAAATCACCTCAAGTCAGTGGAAACCGAGTGAGACGGAGCATTGAAAAGAAGGTTCTGAAGGCACACTCAAACAGTCTGTTTGTGCACCGTTTCACCCACTTTCCAAGTCCTCCCTTGGCGCGAATCCACCG